CTGGAAATATCTCACAGAGCTCTGTCCTCTGACTAATACTAGTCAAGTTCTTTATCTGTAATTAAAGGGGAAAAAACCCTTCCTTCTTTCTGGAAACTAAAAAAAAAAAAAAAAAAAAAAAAGGGAGTATGAAGAAACGTTATACTGAGGCAGAAAACAGTCTCAGCTTCATGTACAAGAAAAAGACCAGGCTCTGAGCTGTCCATTTCCCTCAGAGGTCAGGGAAAACTCCTTGGTTGTCAGTTGGTGCCATGAAAACATTGCCCAGGAAAAGGTTAGGAAAAAAGGACATCACGTGTTACAAATAACTAGGAAAGCAAGAGAGAACAAAAGGAAGAAAATCGTTAAATCCTTCCACAGAGGACCATCTGAGTAAGCTGGAACTCTTCAGCGGGGGAAAAGACATGGCCTGTATGCTGGCACAGGAAAGGTTTATGACATCCTGAGAGGCAGGGAGAGAGCGGGCAGCGACCATTCACTCTTTTCCAACAGAGGAACAAGAGCCATCAGATACAGCTAGTCGGAGCAAGCAAATGAGGGGAGGTGGTTTTCCTTACAGCAGAGCAGACCTGCTGAACGCCTTGCAACAGGGTGTTGTAAATGCAAATGTTTACATGGGTTCATGGTGAGATGGGAAGAGTACCTGAAAGAGAGCCACTGAGGGATCTCCATAGACTGTAACAGGCTCGGGAGATCCCGAGAGCTGAAAACAGTTGCACATGGAGAAAAGTATGAGGGGCCTTTTTTCCTCATTATTTCATGTGACAGAATTCCCAGAAAGAAGAAAGTTTGCCTGCCCATCATCCCTCCTCCTACTCCTTTTCGCTGTCCTCAAAACACTAATATTCCTAACTCTGCCTCCAAAAGGTTTGCAGTAACTACATAGTCCTTTCTGGTTTTCACCTGTATTTTCCCACTGAATTTTCAATTCAGTTCTGCAAGACTTCTGGGGCACGTGCAATTAGAAAGCTATCCTGACCTCACCCCCTCCTCTACGTACACAGAGTACTTGCTCTCAGGACAGCCAGCTTGCATTCATGCCTATCACAGAGAACAGATGCAATGCAGAGATGCTCCTTGTTAACTTAGGTACCTATTGTGAAGTTGTAAACGCTGGCTGTAGTTAGGTTGCTGTTGTGATGCTAGTTTAAGCACACAAAGCAAGTTCTGCAGGAAGAAGTGAAATATTTTATTATTAACAACAATTAATATTGTGGGGAAAAAACAGGCCTTCAAACCGCCCCCCCCCCCCCCCCCCCAAAAGTGCTTCTTCATCTGTAGAAACTGTGCTCAAAAGCTTGCTTCTTTTTTCTCCAAATACACCAGCTACTCTCACAAAGCACATGCACATTCTCCCCCAACCTTTACCTCAGTGGTACAGGTTAAACTGGAATGAGTGATAGGAAGGGGGAAAACCAGGCTGAAATTAAAGCTCTTTGTGAAACCCTGACTACAAATTTCACGCTTCAAAAACTTGATCAAGGGAACTCCAAACATTCCATTAAACCACAACTATTTTTAATCAAGTTCCTGTTAAAGATTTAAGGTAGGAACTGGGGCAGCAAAGTCCCTCCCACTGTAAGAGAAGATCGGGTTCGAGACCACCTGAGGAACCTGAACATACATAAGTCTATGGAACCCGACGAGATGCATCCCAGAGTCCTGAGGGAATTGGCTGATGCAGTTGCCTTCCCTGTGCCTGGGAACAGGGACAGATCCTCCTGGAAGCTATGACACTGTCTCCCACAGCATTCTCCGAGAGAAGCTGGCGGCGCACGGCTTAGACAGGTGTACTCTGTGCTGGGTAAAAAACTGGCTGGACGGCTGGGCCCAGAGAGTTGTGGTGAATGGAGTTACATCCAGTTGGCAGCCGGTCACGAGCGGTGTTCCCCGGGGCTCAGTTTTGGGGCCGGTCTTGTTTAATATCTTTATCAATGATC